AGCAACATAACTCAAGAAGTTATGGACCGATTTTGATGAAATTTTCAGGATTTGTTGGAAATGTGAAAAGGAAGAACTGATTTCATTTTGGGGCTGATCCGGAAGAAATCCTGGATTCTAGATCACTTTGAAATTTTAGTTAACATTGTGGTAAATGGGGCCAAAAATGTTGTTTCTCAATATCTCGGTTAAATATTGACCAAACCCCATGAAATTTGTTTCAGGGATGGACAATGGGATCCTCTTTCATATTCCAAAGGCTGATCCGGATCTGATCCAGAAGACTGATTTTATCGCAATTTATATAAAAAATGGGGGTAGTCCTTGGCGGAGGTCTGCGCTCTCTGAGTGCTTTTCTAGTTTGATATATTCTGATGGTCCACGATATTATTGTGAGAACTTTGACGATACGATATCACGATATTTAGTTTGTTACATCCCTAGTGTCACATAAATGCAACAAAACTGTAGCGCTGTGACAAAATATCAGTAAAACATACCAAAAAAACTCTATCAATACAGCAGCCCACGATATCTTTACTGTATCATCACATTAAACGATACGATATATTGATATTTTTATATTTTTGCATACCCCTAATCTACATGGAGAAAAGCATTTGATGGACCCTCCACTAGAAAAGTTACACAGTGCACCTTTAAGTACTTCCTTAAAGTTTTTTGCCTGATCCGAAAGAGACTTTTCATTTTAATTTATTTATATGAAGGCGCGGCTGGTTTACGGCTGAACAATTTGGGATTTTTCTGACAAGTTTTGCACGGATTTGCGATCGCGATCAGATCAAATATGAACTGACACATTAATACAAGAATCACATTTCAGAACATGTTCGTGCAGATCTAAACTACAGGGTTAGCAGTTTTTACGCCTTAAAAAACAAGAGAATATTTCGTTTTTTTGTCCAAGAAAACATGGTACTTCAAAAACTGCAGTATTTGCCCACTCTAGACTTCAGTACCGGTCATTTTGGCGTTGTAAGGACGGGGTTAATTGACAGAGACCCAACTGGTGGTGGTGAATGAGAGGAATGTTGCCTTCAGTGCAGTCTGTAAAAGTCAGCGTCTCACATGAGGACAAAGAGTGGACACAGTGAACCGATTTAGCCTCCGCAGCCTCCAGATCTGTACAGTAACGCACAAAGACGTCTATTGAGTCGCCCCGCACAAAGGACAAGACAGTCTGTATCATTCAGGACCGTAAAACCAAGTTAACTTTAAAAATAGCAAGTTACACATATTTTAGGTTTTAAGTATTTCGTGTTAGAGAAATGTCTTGACAAAGTTTCAGTATTTGCTAAATTTTGAGATGAAGGAAAAAGGTCAGTAAATGAACAATTGTGAATGAACAAAAAGTGTGGATGAAACATGAACTGACAAACAGATTTTAGAACATTTTTGTACAGATCTAAAGTACATGATTAGCAGTTTTTTAGGTACTTAAAACACCGTAGCCTTTTACGAATTGTGACAGCGTCTTGGTGGAGGTCTAAAGTTGACTTAGTGCTGCTTATAAAATATTTGCATATATTTTATCTTTGTTTACAGTAGGTTTAGAGCTGCTTTAGTCCTGTTTTAGTCTTGGTACAGCTTCTCTCTGGAGTAGCCCATGTTTAGACTTTAGTAGGGCTGAATTATCTGTCGTTTTGGACCGAAAATCGAGATCGAATTGTGATTTTTGGAGCGTCGAAGCTGTGTTTTTTGCGGTGCTCCTAAAGCCCAATTTTAAAAGCGAAGTTTAGTTCTGTGTCCACGAAATGCACAAAGTCGCCGTCGCCTTGTCACCGTCGTTTTTGATTTATGGATCTGCGTTGAGGTCTATGCGCCGCAAAGTAATTCACCACCACAACACAAGGAGGTGAGGATTTAAACCTGGCCTTCGTGTAAAGCAGGGATCTCCAACCTGTAATTCGGAATCCAAGTAGTTCACCGAGGGATTTCTGAATTATAAGAATTGTCCTGAATAACTCCATTGCAATGTGTTATTTTGAGCGTTGTGTTGTAATAAATGAATAATGGTTTTAGGTTTTATGGGCTCTTTTATATCTACTCAATTTCCTGCAATCGCTGAAATGAGCAGCTGTCCGGCCTTTTCGTTTTGCAAAGGCAGCTCATCGGATGCAAAACATTGGAGATCCCTGGTGCAAGGTTTAACATGAACCATCCCCAATACAACAGAAGTATCAAAACAAACTCACCATCATCAGCACATCCTCTGTCACAGGAAGGACACTCACATTTCACCGAGTCATGTCCTTTAGTCTGACAGAAACTGACCGCATCAGCAGCACAAAGAGCGAGCTGTTTATGCCAGGGGTCTCCAACCTGTAGCTCGGGACCTACCAGTAGCTCTCCACCCACTTCCAAGTAAATGTGTGTAGATTCCCAACTTGTGCACTAATAGGCGAGTTTCATTGTTGACAAAAGCGCGCGTTGCATGCTGGGAATTATTTTGGTCGGCGGCAAGAAACACTAATTCAACATGACGGACGGAGCGAGAAAGCACGTAAAGGGTATTGATCCCGGTTATTTATCCACTCTAACGACAGAGGACCCAAGACCATTTGACCAGAAATTGGTCATAAGCATCGACGGACGACAAATCACCCTTTTCAACCCCGACAAAAGGTGGACCAAACCAAATTTCTGGTCAGAATCGCCAACTACCTGGACAAATATTCACTTTGGCGATATCCACAATGACTTGGTGGAAACTCCTGGGCCATTCACAGCAGAAAAGATGAAAACCTCCAAGAGTCTCGATGTGTTGTTGAACTTGTTGGAGTCCACGGTTTGTTAGGATCTTCTACGTTTGCTCTGCGAATGTTTGAAAGACATTTAATTCACCGTTAGCAGTTCTTTTCACTCACAATACGAAAAAGACATTTTCCTTCTTCCGTGCTTCTATTTGTGCATCCGATAATGCAGCAGGAATTTACCATTATCAGGGGATAAATACGCGAGGTTACGCACTGTGTTTGACGCTATCGTGTTTCTTGCCTCCGACCAAAATATTTCCCAGCAGCAACGCGGGCTTTTAATAACAATGACGTCAGCTGAAACTCGCCTATAAATGGATAATGGTTTATGTTTAATCGGCATCTAACAGTGCCCCGTCTAAAGCTTGCCATAGCTGTTTTATGTTTTCAGTTTCTTGGACCTGCTAAAATGAGTAGGTTTCTGGCATTTTCGTTTTATTTAAAGTATCTCACCAGAGGAAAAAAGTTGGAAACTCCTGGTTTATGCAAAGTAGCCGTGCGGTTTTAAGTTTCCTTTGTGCACAAACGATCCAGCGTCAAATCGTCGGTGCAGGACTCTGGTATGATGTAAGATTCTGTGATGTTTGCAAATGTTCATGTGCCCTGAAACTTGATTTGAAAAAAGAAAAAAAAATCATGGATGAAATCGAAATCGTAATATCTGCCAGAAAAATCGCAATTCAATTTTTTCTTAAATATCGTTCCGCCCTAGATTGGAGATAGATCTATAAATTTGTCTCCAGCATAAACCTTTGTTCTTGTCAAACTGCTGCCTATAAAAATTACACACAAAGCTTTATATTAAAACTTAAATACAAAGACGTAGCTGCACAAAACGTGACTACTACTGATTGTGGTAAAGTCTAGCTCCGTAATTTGGGGAAAATAATCAAAAAATCTGCCCAGAAATGTGATCTGCTCATCAGCCATCAGTTGCTTTCTCTGTGTAGGAAAAACACTTCTTAGTCTTTTTACGTATAATTTTAAGTATTTTTGAGAGTAGAGTTTGAAATCCTCTCATTTCCTGCGGTCCTGAGAGCCCCTCTTTGTTCCCACTTCTCGGAGTTATAATAGTTTCTAATGGAGCTTCAGTATAGACGGCTGCAGTCGTTTCATTCTTCCTCTGATTCATCTGTCTAACTCTGGAAACACTGAAGAGGATCATTTACGGCTGCTGAGATTTACAGATTCAATACAGCTCCGATTTTGAGCTCAGACACTTTGGGCCATGTAAACAGAAATGTTGCTGTGTGATGAAGCTGTCAGCGCGTGTTGTAAGGTTGAGGTTTTTGGTACAGTTTTTATCTGTTTCTATCTGTCTTTTTATCTTAAAATGTGAAAAATAAAACTAGCTCAGTTGTCCGCTATTGTATTTCTCACTTATCTTATGCATTCAGTGCATTCCCATGAAATCAAAATATGAAATGTATATAAAGTAGAGCTCGGCAAAAATTTTAAAAATTAATCACGATTAATCGCTTGTTATACACAAAACCAATTAATGAATTAAAAAATAGAGTATAGCTGCACTTTTATTGGAAATGTAAATGAAAGAGCCAAACATTTGTTGTGCAAACAGTATTTCTTTCACAGGGGAACCTCAGAGTCTTCAAGCTGTTCTGAAGGCTCAAGAAAAAATACTGAATGGACTTTTGTACTACTAATATATTTATAGAATATTTTTTATGCTGTGAGAAATGAACACGACACTAGTAATAATTTCTAGATCAGTGTTATAAACTTGGACTGATATTTCTTGGGAAACAAAGGGTTAATATAATGGAATGGAAATGGACCAATCACATTTTTTCTTCCAATGGTATCTGGGTAAATCAGTGACTCCAGCACTGAACTAAAGAAATAAGCTCAGCTCAGAGCCGGAGCCCGTGGCCAGAGCCGCGACTGGGCTCACAGAGGCTCGGAAATGTTGCATCTCATGTGGTCAGAAAAAAGTGAAAAAAGTGTAAAGAAAAGACGTCAAACTTAAAGAAACGCTCGCGGTGGACTTTTTCAAAATAAAAGCCAGTGAGAAACAGACATTTACAATAAAATAAAAAAATAAATAAATAATAAAAACTGCGTTAACAGCGTTAAAATATTTGTCGGCATTAATGACTTAATGAGTTAACGCAAAGTTAACGCGTTAACGTGCCCAGCCCTAATATAAAGTCAATGTGTAGTAAATGTTATACCTGACGTTTTTGTCCCTCTGTCTCTCCGTAGGGCCCTGGTGTTTATCACACATGGAGCTGGAGAACACGTAGGACGTTACGACGACGTGGCTCAGAGACTCAAGGAGCTGCAAGTGCTGGTGTTTGGCCACGATCACGGTTTGTCAATGCAAAACTGTATTATTATTGTTATTTTAAATTCAAAAATACATTCTAGGGCTGCGAGACTTTTCATAATTGAATCGAAATCACCCAAAATGCTCTGTTCCAGGTAGTAGTTTTCATGCTCCTTTTACCTTTTGTTCAGGAGAGATCAGCAATTCCAGGGCTGAAATGTTCCAAATGATTCTAGTGAAGGTGTAGGGAGTTTAAAAACACAGTGGAGCACTTTCTGTATTACCACATGACATCACAAGGTGGGATTTTGATTGAGAGAAGAACTAAATCTGCAGGGTTTGTGCATTAAACATGTGTGAATGAAACAAAACACAACTCCAGGTCTGTTTACATTAAAACATCGATCAGGAAATAGCGTAATTTAAAGGTCATTTCAAGTACAAAATACCAAATATGATTAAAATACTAAAGAATAAAAGGTCAGAGAAGTTGACAAAGCTTGATAGGAGCAGAGCCGAGCAGATGAAAGTGTGAGATGGGCTGGTGGTGAATGTGACAGTGTTAATGGAAAAACCTGAACTGGAACACGTCCCTGAAGGCCACAGTCTGGAGCAGAGGAGAACTCGAAAGTGCCTTTAATTTATTGTCCTACAGGATAATTTTAGGCAAGTTTTGATTTTATTTGACTGAGATTGTAGAAATGTAATAAATATTGGACATTATTTATTTAGTAATTTTGACAGTGATCGAGTCTGTTCATTATTTAATCAGAGTCTTGATCTAAACTGAAAGAATTTAAAGGTCCTTTATTACGCAAAATTGACTCTTGTGAGCTTTGAGCCGTCAAAAACAGACCTGGAGTTGTGTTTTGTTTTTGAGTAACTCTTTATTATTAGTCTGTCTACGTCTCCAGAGCTCAAAATGCGCCGTGCCACCTTGTGATGTCATGAAGCAGTTAACAGTTCACAGCTCCTTTACGTTTTGTTCAGTAGAGATCGACAATTCCAGGTGTGAAATGATCCAGATCAGGGGTTTTCAAACTGGGTGAATGTGAGTCTCCCCTTAGAGTAGCTAAAGATAGACAGTTTAGACAAGGTTTAGACTTGGTTTAGACCTGGTTTAGAACTGGTTTTAGTCCTAATTTTAGTCCTGGTTTAGTCCTGCTTTACTCCTGGTTTAGATCTGGTTTAGACTTGGTTAATACCTGGTTTAAGCCCTGATTTTATTCCTAGTTTAGTCCCGGTTTAGTCCTGGTTTAGTTCTGGTTTACTCCTGGTTTAGTTCTGGTTTAGTCCTGTTTTAGTCCTGGCTTAGACCTGGCTTAGTCCTGGTTTAGTCTTGATTTTAGTCCTGGTTTAGTTCTGGTTTAGTCCTGCTTTAGACCTCTCCTGGTTTAGTTCTGGTTTAGTCCTGGTTTAGTCCTGCTTTAGACCTGGTTTTGACGTAGTTTTAGTCCTAATTTTAGTCCTGATTTTAGTCCTGGTTTAGACCTGGTTTAGTCCTGGTTTAGTCCTGGTTTAGTTACTGGTTTAGTCCTGGTTTAGTCCTGGTTTAGTCCTGGTTTAGTCCTGGTTTAGTTCTGGTTTAGTCCTGGTTTAGTTCTGGTTTAGTCCTGGTTTAGTTTTTCCTGGTTTAGTCCTGGTTTAGTCCTGGTTTAGACCTGGTTTAGACCTGGTTTAGTCCTGGTTTTAGGTTTAGTCCTGGTTTAGTTCTGGTTTAGTCCTGGTTTAGTCCTGGTTTAGTCCTGGTTTAGTCCTGGTTTAGACCTGGTTTAATTCTGGTTTAGTCCTGGTTTAGACCTGGTTTCCATGTGGTTTTAGTCCTAATTTTAGTCGTGGTCTAGTCCTGATTTAGACCTGATTTTAGTCCTGATTTTAGTCCTGGTTTAGACCTGCTTTAGACCTGGTATTAGTCCTAATTTTAGTCCTGGTTTAAAGCAAAGCAAAAAGGGTGTCACTCCAAACTTTGAGTATTTTTTCAGAATGGCGACATCATTTTACAGCTAATGCAAACGTAATTACCGATATCAGTGCTGCTGCAGATGTGTACAGATGTGGACCATTATTTTTTCTTCACATGTACCTCCCCAGTGGCTCTTTGGCGCCCCCCAGGGGAAGCGGGCCTCATCTATTGAAAACCGTTGATCCAAATTAATCTAGTGAAGGTCTATGGAGTTTAAAAACACAGTGGAGCACTCCCGGTTTTTGATGAGGAAACAACATTCTAACACTGATCAGACAATAGTGTAATATGGGCCCTTTAAACCAAGGCCAGATACTAAAATATATTTGACCCTTTTGCCTGGTATTCGTTTCCTGTCACAATAACATATTTTAAAGTGCAATATATGGCAGAACAAAATGTATAATGTTCTTAAAATAAAATAAAATAAAATAAAAACATGAGCTCCAGTCAGTACATACACTTTAGTAGTCAGTTTGTGTAATATATATATCTAGTATAGTGTTATATGTCATAGAAGTTATTTATTAAACTCTTTTTCAAGTCCCGGTTTAGTCCTGGGTTTAGACCTGATTTAGACCTGGTTTAGTCCTGGTTTTAGTCATGATTTTAGTCCTGGTTTAGTCCTGTTTTAGTCCTGGTTTTAGTCATGATTTTAGTCCTGGTTTAGTCCTGTTTTAGTCCTGGTTTTAGTCATGATTTTAGTCCTGGTTTTAGTCCTGGTTTTAGTCATGATTTTAGTCTTGGTTTAGTCCTGTTTTAGTCCTGGTTTTAGTCATGATTTTAGTCTTGGTTTAGTCCTGGTTTTAGTCATGATTTTAGTCCTGGTTTTAGTCATGATTTTAGTCCTGGTTTAGTCCTGGTTTTAGTCATGATTTTAGTCCTGGTTTAGTCCTGGTTTTAGTCATGATTTTAGTCCTGGTTTAGACCTGTTTTAGTCCTGGTTTAGTCCTGATTTTAGTCTTGGTTTAGTCCTGGTTTTAGTCATGATTTTAGTCCTGGTTTAGACCTGTTTTAGTCCTGGTTTAGTCCTGATTTTAGTCATGATTTTAATCTTGGTTTAGTCCTGGTTTAAGTCATGATTTTAGTCCTGGTTTTAGTCATGATTTTAGTCTTGGTTTAGTCCTGGTTTAGACTTGGTTTAGACTTGGTTTAGATTTGGTTTAGACCTGGTTTTAGTCCTGATTTTAGCCCTGATTTTAGTCCTGGTTTAGACTTGATTTAAACCTGGTTTTAGTCCCTAATTTTAGTCCTGGTTTAGTCCCGGTTTCGACCTGCTTTAGACCTGGTTTTAGTCTTAATTTTAGTCCATTTTAAAGTGCAATTTATGGCAGCTCAAAATGTATAATATTAGGGGGAAAAAAAGTACATACACTTCAGTAGTTAGTTTGTATAATATATATATAGTATAATATGTCATAGAAGTTATTTATTCAACTCTTTTTAAAGTGTGTTTTCAGTTCGAGAGAAGAAATCATCAGGATTTGTGTGTTAAAAATGTGTGAATGAAACAAAACACAAGTCCAGGTCAGAAAATAGCACAATAAGGGCCCTTTAAAAGTACATGGTTTTACATCTCTCTGTCATGTGACCTGGAGAGGGGCTGTGATTGGTCCAGAGGTCGCCATGGAAACTGTCTCACCTCCATCTCTGCAGCATCACCTGTATTTGTACACAGTGAGAAATTATACTGGGAAACATGGAAGCGTTTGTGTTTTTACTGTATCAGGAGATTTTAATCAAACCAAAACAGGCGTGATATCATTTAGAAAAGAAAAAATATAAAACTAACTCAATCAAATCTACTGGCGATAACTGTACACTGTACAACCAATACTTCTACTACTGTTGTTTTACACTAAAACTACTACTTCTACTGTTGTTTTACACTAAAACTACTACTTCTACTGTTTCTTTACACTGTTACTACTACTACTACTTCTAATACTGTTGCTTTGCCCTACTACTACTACTTCTACTACAGTTGCTTTACACTACTACTACTACTACTACTGTTGCTTTACACTACTACTACTACTACTACTACTGTTGCTTTACACTACTACTACTACTACTACTACTACTACTGTTGCTTTACACTACTACTACTACTACTACTACTACTGTTGCTTTACACTACTACTACTACTACTACTACTGTTGCTTTACACTACTACTACTACTACTACTACTACTACTACTACTACTTCTACTACAGTTGCTTTACACTACTACTACTACTACTACTGCCTCTTTACACTACTACTTCTACTACAGTTGCTTTACACTACTACTACTACTACTACTACTACTACTACTACTACTACTACTACTACTACTACTACTACTACTACTACTGTTGCTTTACACTACTACTACTACTACTACTACTACTACTGCCTCTTTACACTACTACTTCTACTACAGTTGCTTTACACTACTACTACTACTACTACTACTACTACTACTTCTACTACAGTTGCTTTACACTACTACTACTACTACTACTACTACTTCTACTACTAGTTACTACTACTACTACTACTACTACTACTACTACTACTACTTCTACTACAGTTGCTTTACACTACTACTACTACTACTACTACTACTACTACTACTACTACTACTACTACTACTACTACTTCTACTACTTCTACTACAGTTGCTTTACACTACTACTACTACTACTACTACTACTGCCTCTTTACACTACTACTTCTACTACAGTTGCTTTACACTACTACTACTACTACTACTACTACTACTACTACTACTACTACTACTACTACTACTACTACTACTGTTGCTTTACACTACTACTACTACTACTACTACTACTACTACTGTTGCTTTACACTACTGCTACTACTACTACTACTACTACTGCCTCTTTACACTACTACTTCTACTACAGTTACTTTACACTACTACTACTACTACTACTGTTGCTTTACACTACTACTTCTACTACAGTTGCTTTACACTACTACTACTACTACTACTACTACTACTACTACTACTACTACTACTACTACTGTTGCTTTACACTACTTCTACTACTACTACTACTACTACTACTACTACTACTACTACTGTTGCTTTACACTACTTCTATTACTTCTACTACTACTACTGCTACTACTACTGCTACTACTACTACTACTACTACTACTACTAGTTACTTCATTGATAAGGAAAGCAATCAAAAATGTAAAATCAGTTTGTGGAACACCGTCTTGTATGAGAGAAGTTTTTTTTTTAATTAACCTGAAAACTACCATTTCATGACATCACAAGGGGGAACAGAGCATTTTGAGTTTTGGAGATCTAGACAGACTAATAATCCATCTTGTAACTGAAACAAAACACGGCTCCAGGTCTGTTTTTGAGCAGGCAACAACATTAGAACATGACTCAAAGCTCGTCCTTTGCAGAAGCAGACGTTGGTTGATCTCCGTGTTTTCTTGTCTGTGTTTTGCAGTGGGCCACGGGCAGAGTGAAGGAGAGCGCATGATCATCAGAGACTTCCAGATTTACATTCGAGATGTTCTACAGCACGTGGACCTCATGAAGAACAGACACCCGGGCATCCCCATCTTCATCGTGGGACACTCTATGGTGAGGAAGAACTAAGATTGTGCAATTAATCCCATTTTTCTACCGCTGTCTGAGGCTTGTTAGACTTTAACTCTTTCCCCCATGAAGACGACATTTGACGACCCCCCTGAACCCTTAATGACGACTTTTGACTCCTCCGCCGTATCACTAAAGACGTGATTTGACGACCTTTAGAAATGGCTCGGTTTTTCACATTTAAACAGAGGCTGTGACAGGTCGGGGCCACTACAACCCACACTAGACTGACCAATAGGATTCAAGGATATGTTTTTGCCGATTTTTTCCGAAGTTAATCGAAGTAGTGACGATGGTAGCTTCCGGAAAAAACACAACACGAAACACGTGCAATGGAAAGATCGCGGCGCACAGTTTTAGAAATAATGAGGAGCGGACGTATTTTATGGATAAGTTTAGAGAAAGTGACTTTTATAGATTTCAAAGTGATGAGGAAGTTGATTATAAAGTGGAAAACAGCGATAGCGACGGACTTACAGAGAGTGAATCTTACGAAGATGAGAATGCAGCTGATGCGTCTGTGTGGAGTCCTGCGATATCCAAACAAACTATCTGAGCTTTATACTCGATTATGAACCAAAATTGCCCTGAAATCTGGATGTTGCCCAGACGAGTCCTTTAAAATATTTCAGTCTTTTTTTCCAAGATGCGATGTATGACAGAATCGCTACAGAAAAAAACGCTTATGCGGAGCTCTGCGCACGAGAAAATAATCAAGATGACAAATACTGGACACACACTGACGAGGAAGAGTTTTATTATTATATTATTATATTATAATAAGCTAAATTAGTTGAATAAGCTAAATGAGTTGAATAAGTTAAATGGAAAAAAAATTTATTGGGTGCACACAGGTGAACAACAGGTAAAAACAGGTGCACACTTGGCTATACTGTATCTGGTGATATGAAATCTGTTTAAATACTTTGACAAAGTATATTTTAAATTTTTTTATGAATATAGTTCTCAGAACATGCAGATATCAGATGCTGAATGTAGTTTTTTGTTTTGGAGTTTGCACCTGACCAGGTAAACTCTCATTTTCAGTGAGCTGTTATACACCTATAAATGAGTTGAATCACATTTAAACATCCATAAATGAAGAGTTCAGAGTCTAAGGTTTCCAGAGATACAAATATGTCTGTGTTACAATTAAGTTCATGAGTGTAAAATTAATTTATAATCACTGGTGGAAGTCTGTTTTCTTTTATACAGTTATGCTCTATGGGCAGAACTAGTAACATATGTATGGGTTGTTCCTAGTCGGCGTCCAGGGGGGAAAGAGTTAATCTTTAATCTTTATTTTAACATAATCTGACCAGAAAGAATTGACTTAGTTGGAACTACAACAGGTGAGATCATTTGTTCTCTTAAAAAAAATTTCAAGTACAGTCACAAGCAAGCGAGTCAGTTTTCAGACTACATTAAAACTTTTTGGACAGTGTTTGCCAATGTGTGCATATATGTTATTGTTTAATGTGATGATACAGTATTGATATTGTGAGCTGCTGTATCGATATATCAAGAAGAGTATTTTTTGGTAAATTTTACTAAAATTATTTTGTTACAGCGCTGCAGATTTGTTGCTTGTTCAGAGGAAGTAAACTTTTTTATGCGACACATTTGACATTTTCATTGTTTTAATGATTAAAATGTTTGTTTCATATGAACTTTGCTCAAGAAGTGGTTTAACAAAGACTTGTAGTATCACAGCCACGATTTTGCCTTTATTTTTATTGAACTGTATTGAATTGATTTGAAATATATCTTATCGAATCGAAAGCTCACTGTATCGAGATATGTATCGTATCGGCCACTTCTTAGACCCCGTTTACACTGACATGAATCCGCATAGCACCGTATCATCGCATCCGAAATGATCTGCGTCCAGACACGTCGTTTCTGTAGCCGCAATCAAAGTGTTCCCTGTCCGCAAAACCGCCTGAAACGCTAGTCACATGATAGGCTGGTGTCACGTCATCACCACGTCCCGATGTCACGTGAGCAGTAAAAACAAGGAAGTCTGAAGTTGCAGCAGCTGATTTTGAGCTGAGGGAGACAAAAGTAAAAAACAAACAGTAAAAAAGTAAAAACAGTTTTTTCGTGGACTGACGATGAGGTTCAGTTGTTTCTGAACGCAACACTGGATTTTAAGAAGAGCATGGCGACTGAGAGTGAGGAATGAGTCGTTTCTGAATGAGAAACGAAACTTAAAACCACATGGCTAATTTTCATAAACTAAGCGCTCAAAAAAACTGATCGCTATTGTGCTCTGATGTAGTTCAGCTTCTGTCAGATTAAAGGACACGACTCAGTGGATTATGTATATTCTTTCTGTGACAGAGGGATGTTCTGCTGATGGTGAGTCTGTTCTGTGCTTCTATTGCGGTGGAGATGGTTCATGTTAAACTTTTCAGAGATTATACGGTCTATGCATACGATCATACAGATAGAACGTTTATATGAATGGACATATATTCTAGCTTCTTAGCGTTTTGGCGCTGAATTAGCTACTTCGTGGTGCATAGACCTACATCAGAGTATCAGTGTTTTCAGGCGTCCACATTTTGCCGGCTCAGATCTGTGCTCAGATGAATTCGTGGGAGCTGGAGGCACCAGATCGTTCCGTCTCTGGAGCCGTTTTCCGTCGGATTAGTGTGGACAAACACTACATCCACAACGAAAACGACGATACCCAGCCCTCGTGTGCATTGTGTCACCATGGTAACTGCTGAACATTCCACCATAGAGATGCACAGACTGTAGAACACCCCTAGCGTGAAAGCTTTGGTCAGTGTTGCGTAATACAGGACCTTTAATTCTTGAGTTATCTGTTTATTCAAGTTATCTAATGCCCTGTTGTTCTTCCCTGTGTCTACATTTCACTTGGGAGTTTAAGTAGTGTTTTTATTTCCACTATTATGTAATACGTCATGGAGTACATTGCCAGGTTGGATCCTAAACTTTTTTTAATCCCCCTTCTCGCCTGTGTTCTTTAGTTCTCTGTAAACTTGAGGCCCACACATCGCTCTTTCTCTCTTTCTCTCCGTCTCTCTCGTTTGCACTAATTGGCCTCTCTGTGTTTCTGTGAATATTCATGAGACGGGGGCCTGCAGTTACAAGAGGTGCTCAAACTGTTCCCATAAGACCAGGAAGTTTAAACCCAAATCCAAAACACACTCGCTCTTTCAAATGACACTAGATGGCTGGGTAACAAATGTCTGATCTTTTTTCATATACCGTATTTTTCGGACTATAAGTTGCACTTTTTTTTCATGGTTTCCTGTGACTTATACTCCAGTGCGACTTATATATTAAGAATTTCAGACTAACAGCCGCGAGAGGCTCTAGGCTTGTGTGTCAGTATCTTTACTACGATTACTCCTGTACCACTGTCTGTTCGCACACTACTGCGCATGTCTCCTGTAGAAAAAGCCGTTGTTCTGCTGGAAATAGTGAAATATTCAGCTGAAAATGGTCATCAAGCAGCAGAGGGAAAGTTTGGAGTGAGCGAGAAACTTGTGAAGGACTGGCGGAAAATGGGAATGGAGAGAACACAACTTCACGGAAACCGGGCGGGTGCGCCATGCAACTTTTCTGGAAGTCACTGGATGAATCGACAAAGGCTGAACTTCAATGACAACCGAAACCATCCTGTCTGGATTCAGAAAGGCCGGAATAATTCTAACTAGAACTGACGCTGAGTCTGACGACAGCGACACAGAAGAGGAAGCGGCGCTCTGTTTACATCATGGATCTATGGTTTACCTCTGGAGGTTGTGCAGAAGTGACACCGAGGATGAAGAATTCAATGGATTTAGTGATTTGGAGTGAGATCGAGAGTTTGGTAAACTTATGTTCTGTTGTTTATGCTATAATTATCTGAATCACTGTTAATATGTTACATTAACATATTAACATCTATTCAGTCTGTTGTTCTCTGTTCTTTTGTTTTTACTATAACTTGCCTCAAGATGAAATGTTGGTTCCTGGTCTCTGATTTTATAAAATAGATTTCCCCAAAAAGTGCGACTTATAGTCTGGTGTGACTTATATGTTTTTTCTTCTTCATTGCGCATTTTTGGCTGGTGCGACTTTCTATGTAGATGTCATTTCTCTGCCTGGAATGTCCCACAATATGACATTAAACAGCTCTACCTCTACCATTTACTGAATTACAGGTGGTTTTATTGCTCAAAAATACTTAGAAAAACAGGTATTCTGACTGTGAGTGGGGTCGCCTCTCCGCAGATCTGACCTGTAACTTGATTTGGTCTACTATATACCATAAAACACACTTAAAAACACTTTTACTCACAGGTTTTTAACATGCCGTGAGAATTGTGTTGTCCTCTCACTGTTTTTTGTTCATTTTATTAGCCTATTTTATTATTATTTTATCAGCAAATTTTAGTTTTTTTTTTTAAAAATGTTTTTATTGACTTGCTTATTTATTTATTTATTTTATGTTTTGTTTTATTCAATGTGTTCATTTATGTTGCGCAGCACTTTGGAGACTTTGTGTTGGTAAAATGTGCTGCACAAATTAAATTGGATTGAATTGGATAACATCTCCACAGAAAAAAGCATTTGACGGATTTTCAACCAGAAAAGTTACACATTGCATCTTTAAAATAATGGTTCCTGTAACAACAGATCAACAAAGAGCAACTTTTAAAGGAGATATGTTATGCAAAATCAACTTTTATTCACGTTTAACCATGTTGTAACAGTCTTTCCTCATCTTAAGATTTGTCAGAGTTGCAAGTTTTATTCATTCTGATACTGATGTGAGTTTGAGGGCACAGAAAATTCCTCTTTTCACCTACCCCCAAGCTCCGCCCACTGCTTTGTAATTGCTTGCAAACTATTCCAAAAATTCTGGGTCAAACATCTATAAAGACTTTGTTTAAAATGTCATTGGGACATTTTTCAATAACAATAACAACTCGATTAAAACTAACTGTGAAATTCCACTTTGAAGT